TCTTAGGGTGAGGAGGAAGAGCATTCACCCCAGATTGTGGGGGTTGGGGAGATCTGCTCTTCATTAGGGGGTTATTGTGTGCAGTGGGATCAGCCCTGAGCAGCAGCATTCACAGCCTGGGTGCTAATGAGCCTAGGGCAGCTCTTCCCAGCATTCAGAACCAGGCTCCAGAGCCTGGGAGGGTGAATTGTCAATGACAACTTTTAGGTCTTTCTGCCTCTTTCCTATTACAGGATTTATATGTAAGTAGAAGAGAAACAATCACCTGTGTCAGGGACACGAGTTATTGAAAATTCATTTACCGGCCATAAACTTGGAAACCCAGTAACCCTAACAGGCATGTCTAACCAGTCTTTTCTACAAACTCCTGAACTTTACTCCTTTTCTGTTGTTTCCTCATTCACAGAGAAAGTCTATTGCTTAAGTCAAGTACATTTCACTCACTGGCACTTGGGGCAAGACAGTAACAGCATCTCTTAAAGCAGACAGAACCCTATGCTAGAAAAATGACCAAAGAAAAGATGGAAGATAGAAGAAAACAAAAAGGAAGCAATGAAACAACTCAAAATTAGCTTCAGCATGAGACTCTGGGCACCTGAGGCTCAGAGAAGAAAGACAAGAGATGGTATCCCCAACTGAGGTTCTAGGCTCACTGGCTGAAACCAGACTGTGGAGGACATGGCTGTAGGCACCAAGGCCCACAGACAAGTGACACCTGCCAGATACAGGAAACAAAAAGAATACCCTGCAGAAGAAGGGGAGGAGGGATTTTAGGAGCAAGAGGGGTCACAGCTCACAGAATTACTTGATCATGGTTCATAGAGGCTCACAAAGACTAAAGTGACAGAGACCCTGATTGAGTTTGACCTAGGTACTCTGAAAATATATTATAGTTGTGTAGGTTGGTGTTCTTTTGGGACTCCCAACAATGGGAGTGGGGGGGTACCTCTTCAGGACCCTTTTCCTCCTACTGGATTTCCACATCTAGCTGTGATATGAGGGTTTGTGTCCAGTCTTATTGAACCTTGTTATGCTATGTTTTGTGGGTATTGCTGGGATGCCTGTTCTTTTTCTTCAAGGGTAATAGAGGAGAAGTGGATCTGGGGGAGAGAGGAGGTGGGGGGAGGGCCTGGGAAGAGTGAAAGGAGGGGGAACTTTGGTATGGACATAATATATGTGGGAATAATAATATATATACATATATATATAGTATCTTTTAAAATTAAGAGGTTGGGGTTTCGAGGACAGATACACCCACATGCACACAACACATATACACACACATAAATATGTATGTATAACAATTTGAGATCCTTACTAATCTAAGCTCTACCTGAGATTTAAACTCTCAACCCTAGTCCCCACCTTCTGACAGGAGAGCTAAGCAAGATCAATCTTGGAATCATATCAAAGAGTTTTAATTTGACTTTTGAAAGTCACAATTAATAAGAAGTTTATTTGATACAAACAGTCAATAGCTAAAGAGAACAACCCTTTGGCCTACTGGAGCTTTATGGCCAATCATCTTTGGAAAATGTGCAAAGAGCCCATCAGGGAACATGCTGTGGCTTGGCAAATGGACAGGGTGCTGTGGGGTCAGCTATGGGTCTGGTAAAGATGCCTGCAATCCTGTGGAGATGTGAACATTGCTGCCAGTGGCCTTGTCTGGCAATACTGCTCTGAAGTTCTTCCAAACGTATCTATGATCATGTAGACACCAGGATCCCCTGCCTCTGGCAAGCCTTCTGTGACCCCAAGTCAGGTTATCTGCAGTTTCCATCATTCCCACAGAGTTCTATGCTGTATTTAGCATGGATTTCATGTTCTTACTTGTCTCCCCAGTTCCATGAGGGTAAGGACCCGAGTATCCTCTGTGTGGGGCACGTTATAGAAAACATGGAAGATGCTACAACAGGAATTTGAGCAATGAGAGAGGGAAGGGTCAGAGGGGAACCAAGGATATTCTTAACTGCATAGTGCAGGGGAAAGAATGTGCAGTCAGGAATCTACTAACCTAGAATTGCACCCAGTGTCCTTCTCACAGGATGTGTAAACTCAAACAATCACCTAAAACACAAGCTTCCGGTCTCTGCTTGATGAAGTCCGAATCAATTAGCTTCCTGGAAGGGTTATTGTGCTTCTGTAAGAATAGCATTACTTAACAACCAGCATTTCCTTTCTCCTGGTTAAAAGGAAACCACCCAAAATGTGGGAGATAATCATCAGAATTTAGTGTCATGATCAATATACCATGGTTTTGAAGTAACGTAAAAATATGAATTAAAATTCAATATATGAGTAGAAATCATTTTAGATAATTTAAGATTAAAGGAATTTAATACAAGTAAACAGAGGAGGGAAATGTTAAAAAGTCTGGAAGAGTGGATGTTAAGGGCCATCACTAGCCTTTTGAGCCAAGGGATCCATTCCCCTGTGGCTGTCAGGAAGCTGATATTGCTACAGCCATTGTATTTCCAAATACCACCTCAAAACTTTAAGCCTCAATAGTATTGAGTGTTCCTTCTATCTCTAAAGACTTTATCTATAATAGATGATGTAGCAATAGTAACTACAATATAGAATGCATTCCACAAATCACTTGCTAGAATCTACATCTTGTTGACGCTGTGACCAAACTACTTCCAAAAATAAGATCATATTAGGTCTTCATCTAAAGCTATTGCTTTATGTGGTAGCTATTGCTAGCATAACCTTTTTAAAAAATGAGGAAACTGATTCTCAGAAAAGTTGAATAATTTCTCAACTGTTAGTAAAGTCAATAGAAATGGTAAAGTTTGTTTGGTTATTAACCTAAATTGTCTACTCTATCCCTAAATGACCAGAATAATTTTGTTTATCATATTAACAGAAATACTAATCTCTTTCAATTGTGCATATCTATGTAGTAGTGGTCCATCCCTTTAACCCTAGCACTCAGGAGGCAGAGGCAGGCAGATCTCTGTGTTTGAGGCAGCCTGGTCTACACAGCTAGTTTCAGGATAGTCAGAGTTACAAAGAGAAATCCTGTTTTGAAAAGTAAAAAAAAAATGTGGGACTGCGTGTTTTAATGAAGGGTTTCTCATTTTGAGCCTCCCAAGAGGATAATGTAGTGTATTTCCACTGCATTTAAGAGCATCTACCTGTGTCACAGAAGAAAAGAAAGAAAATTAGATATATTCATAAGCATATATTGGAAACTATAGCCCTCCTCCCCACCTTCCAACAGGAGAGCTCAGCAAGATCAATCTTGGAATACTATAATAGTTTTCATGAAGTAGTTGTACACTGGATGTAAATGATATGCAAAATGCATGAGATATGAGACACTATGTGATTTAGATGCATTAATTGTGTAAACCACAAATAGGCAACATTCATGAAGTCTGATTCAACCATAAATCAATGACATCCTTGCTCACTCCATGTCCTGGGCACAGTAAATGTGAATGGAACCCCTGGTTGCCCATGTGGGATAACTGACAAGCTCTAGATGTTCCCTTAGCTACTGTTCAGATATACTTGTCTCCAGGCTTACCAACAGAGACAGCAAGTGCTCTTGGCTGCCTCTTTCCCTCTGTGTGGTCCCTTTGCTTCACCTTCAACTTTGGTCCCATAACTAAACCGTCAGTGAGGAGGCCAACACAGCAGACAGCACATATAAATGGCTCATTCTAGCGCCAATGTAGGACGGCTTTTCCTCTTTAACCACACCTTGAATTAGAGTACTAGTGTACTGCATATCCTTTTTCTTTTCATCTCCCTAAGTCTTTTGGGGTGTGTGTGTGTGTGTGTGTGTGTGTGTGTGTGTGTGTGTGTGTGTGTGTGTGTGTGTGTGTGTGTGTTATTCGTCCAACCCAGACTTTGTGCACTCCGAGTAAGCACTCTAAAACTGATTCTCTCACTGTACTTCCAAGCCTATCACTATACTTGAAATAGATTTAACAACCCATTCGAGCCAGACACTGTGGTATCCATCTGTAATTCCCACATTGAGAGGTAGAAGCAGGGGAATCAGGCACTGCAGGCCATCCTTGGCTAAGTAAGCAGCGTGTAGTAGCATCTCTTTGCCAGTGAATTTGTATTAGTGGCTACACCCATTTGGGCGTGGCTGCAGGTGCATAGGCATACGACCAGATGGTGGAGAAGGTGCCCAAGAGAGAGAGAGAGAGAGAGAGAGCCCACCCCAAGTTTCTCCACCTTCAGGTCATATACTCACCTGAAGCTTTGCCCAAAGGAGTGTGGCCACTAACACAAATTCACTGGCAAGGAGTTGCTACTACAGTAGCCTGGATTTGAGACCAGCCTAGATTACATAAAATAATAATAATAATCCATATGACTTGAGCATTTGAATTTGGCTAGTGAGGTTTTATTGTTATTGTTCCATGGATTTTTGGTACGAATTACTAATTGTCTGGTAGTGACTTTGGTGGATCCCCTTGTATCAAAGTAATTTCACACTTGGTAAATAAAGACAGATAGATACTTTAAGCTTATCATTACAGACAAGGAAATTTAAAGGGCGCCGGCCTTGCCACAAGTCACATAGCTCTTAAGTGGGATAACTGAGATTCACACAGTTTCTTCTACTCAAAGCCTGGTTGTTTTTCTCCTCAATGAGATACTTATGGGAAAATATATCAGAGAGTATTATACAACACTAACTTGGAGGTTTATTGTGGGGCTGTGAAGACAGATTACAAAGTAGGATCCCAGGATGTTCTGAACAGTCATTCCTTGACAAAGACTTTGTTTTGATGGAACCACAGTCACCTCGTGCAGATGACAGTCACCTCATCTGTTTCTCATCAATTCTGTAAACACTCGCATCTGTGGCCAAGACTCCCCACCCGCAGATAAACTGAAGTTCAGGTGGTTAGGAGTTAAATCCAGGAAAGGGAGGCACCTGAGCTGAGAAAGCCTTGGTTGTTTTTATACCTTCCCAGTGCTGGACTCCCTGCCAGACATTAGCCTCAGAGACCAGCTGGAGTGTTTGCTCTGGCTCTTTTAGCTGTTAACTTTTGGATCAACTCTAGATTGATTTTAGTTGGCAGATTGTTTTCTCCAAATTAATAGTTAACTCACATAAGCACTTTTTGCTCTCCCTTCCATTCTCTCCTACCCAAGCTTTGAAACCATGAGCATTTAAATAAATACGTCTGGCTAGAAAGATTTTTCAGACTGTAGAGAAAGTGGATTCTCCACTAAGGGGAAAACTGCAAGCCTCTTTTCATTTATGTCACTGCAGCCCTTGTGGGAAATATCGGACTTCTCTGAAGAGGCAATGGGTAAGACTCAAGGGAATCTTGCAAATAACTTTCTAAAATGTTTAATGCTTCAGCAGATTTTGACCGGTTTTGCCCTTATTTCCATTTCATCCGTCCAGACTACTCTGACTTCACATCAAGTCACCAGGCTAGAAAAATCATCACAATGACCACAACTCATGTTTATGAATTTCAGATCAGATTAACATGGAAATTGAGCACAAAACAATCCTTTAACTGTCTTTCCTAATATTGTTTTTTTTTCTACATGGTGTTTGTGCATGAACACAACGAGACCAAATTCCTGATGAAGGAACAACACAGTGCTCAAACACATGTATAATGGAATGGGGAGTGATTTATACTTGGTTTCTCTTTATTACTCTGTATTGCTGACATTCTTATGATCACCTTTTATATACAAACTATCATATTTATATTCTGAAGAGAAATAGAAATACTTGACAAGTTCTTTATTCTTAGCAAGGATCCTTTACAATTATAATCTTAGTTAAGCTTCCTCACATCTCTGGGAATTATCTTTTTATTCTTTCTAATATATATATATAGTGTGTGTGTATATATATATTTTTTCATATGGGTGCTGGGTCATCATGCTTATATAGCAGGCACTTTTCCAACTGAGCTATCTCTATAGCCCCTGGATATTTTTCCCCTTGTTTATTTCTCGTGCGTGTGTAGTTTTTGTTTGTTTGTTTGTTTGTTTGTATCAAAGCACAAGTGCTTTATGGTGTGTTGGGGCTGCTTTCAACAGTGTGCTTCAGTTTTGTCAATAGTTACTATGATACGATGGTGTTACAGAAGGAGCAAAAACAAAAATATTTTCCTCCAGGAACTCCTGATCCTCAGTTGAGTTCTCACCATCAGGTGCTCATTAGTCTCACTGAAGATGGGTCTATAAATGCCTGTTGCCTGGGCCAAATTTCAGATATTCTTTAAAACTCTCCAGCCTATTCACTGAGAAGCTAAGAAAATATCAGCTGACCTTCTGAGAGGTGGCCCATCTAGGAAGTTCAGTCATAACAGCTCATTGCCTGGTTCCCAGGAATCACTTCCTGGCATTTCTCTGGTCTTTGTCACATGGATGTCTTTGCATGCATATCATCAGAACTCAAGACCATAAACAGCTTTCAGAATCTCTCCTTGAGATGGCCTGGAAGTACTCTGTCTTATGATTGCATGTGTGGTTGCAATGGCAGTATGGCAATGAGAATTCTAGAAGTGGTACCCTAAAGAATTGAGTTTAGCCCTACCTCAGGCTGTAAGAAACCATGACTTAAGACAAACTGCTTCTCATTTCTTACTGTTTTTACCTCCGAAAAGCAAAAGTCTTAATGAAATGGCACCTTAAAGTCCATCCAGATTCTAATCATTTAATCCTACATAACACGCAACTGTAAACTACTTTTGAAAACAGAGAGAGAAGAAACAAAAAGAAAAAAAAGTAGGTAGTCTATGATAGATGATGGATTAAAAGCATTCCAGAATGTGGTGACCTACAAGAATCATGGCTATGTAACAGGTCCTGAGACCTTAGCATAACTGATGCCATGCTACAGGAACCATTCTGACTATAAAACCTAGCAAGTAGGCCCCAACAACTGCCAAAACAGGAACTTAATCCATCAAAGACCTAGTCCATATTTCCAGGGTTCAGGAAAGTCCCTAAATGTACTAACCTTGCTGTTTGACTTCTATAGTTTCTCACTAAGTGTTCTTGCTAACCAAAGTGTGGCAACCAGGATGTGGTTTTTGTGCATAAAAGACAAGGGACAGTGAAGCTCAGGGTTACATGATTTGGGCAAGTCCACCAAGCAATCATTGGCTATTAATACAGACTTTGTATTTCAGCTTTGAGAGTGTCCATGTGTGTTCTCTGGTGGAATTGCTTATGACAGCTATTTTTTCTGACTGTAATTTAACTGGAGCTTTGGGTGGGCTCATCAGGACTCACAGGGGTAGCTGCAGACAGGATTTGGCTGAATTAGGACATCCAAGATGGTTTTACTCAAGTGCTAGGTACTACTTACTGTTGACCAGAGAGCCTCAGTGCTGTTGCCTGTGATCTCTCATCTTCAGGAGAACAGGCTATACTTTTTCATGATGTCATGGTCTCAGCACCCTTAGAGACTGGGTATAGAAGCTTATGACTTGTTCTTGTGACCTGTATTCACATTGGCTGTATTCTATCAGTTAAAGGGAGTCACAAAAACATCTCATCTTCAAAAAGTGGAGCAATTTACACCATGTCTTGATGAGGTCAACGATGACATTTTGCAAGTAGTCATGGGCACCAGGAAGCATGATTCATGGCTGGCCATTATTACTGTGATCTTTCATATTACTTGGAGAATCTTCTAGTCTATCAGTGAAGAGTACAGTCTTTGGATTTTGTGGGCTTCCAATCCTACCACTGACATTTACCAGCCCTGTGGCATTTGGGCAAAGAACTTAAATCGTTCTGTGACTGTTTTCCAATAGGTAATTTAAGGAGGATAATAAAGTGGATGCAATAATTAAATGTGGTCATGTCTGCAAAGCTCTAACCACCTTTAAATGTGTCCTAAAACTTTCTGCTCTTACCACCTAACTGGCTTTCCTGCAGGAGGTGAGAAAACTGCTTCATCCCTCAACTTAAGGCATCAACCTGTCTTTTCCTCCTTGTCAACATCAATGGCAGCTAATTAACTACAATCTCTTAAAAGTTTCGATATGGAGATTTTTTTCACATCATGTTGTAAACATTAGGCATCAAAATTCTATTATATTGGCTATTGTTAACACACACAGACACAAAATCTAAGTTTGGGATGCTGATCTTAAAATGAAGAACGTTCTCTGTGGCTTCAGTGGGAGTAGTGAGTGTCTGGCATAAGTTTCTCCTACTGTTGCATGGCAGGACTTGGTGGGGCTGAGTGTGGTTCTAGATGAGAGTAACTTTCTGTCTCATGGGAACCACAGCCTTGTTTGCATACAGAAAACCATCAGTTACTAGTCTTACCTTCTGTAGGGACTTACATGATTGAAAGTGGAAGGGAACCTCAGATTATTAGTGTAGTCCAATACAATGCTAAATACTTGACATAGGTCCCCTCCATTAAGGCATACTTATTACATGTTATCTGTTTGATTTCTCTGAGGTCATTATCTCTGATACAGGGTATTGGAGGTAGGTCAGTATCATGACACAGGATAAGTGGGCAAGCTTACAGAGCCTCAGTTGTGATCTCTACAAAATGAGGCAGTACTCTTTGCCTTGCAAGCATGGAGTAAAGTTAAGAAGTAAGTATATAAAATACTCAGTGCATTGCGTGGATATTAGGAGGATTTAATTATAATACAGGCAAAGTGCTCAGGAGTGGTTGGCACATGATAGATTTACAAAAGTCATTTCCTAGGTCTAATCTTCACTGTATACTTGACTGGTTTCAGAATCACCATCAAAACACACTTCTGCATGTGTCCATGAGGGAGTTTCCAGAAAGGCTGAACCGAAGAAGGAAGGTCTGTCCAGAATGTGAAGAGCACTGTTCCACGGGATGGGGTCTGAATCTGAACAACAAGTAGAAAGTGAACAGAGCATCAGCACTCATCTCTGACGGCCAAAGCAGTGTGACCCACCACCCCATACTTCTGCCACCACACCTTCGCTACTATGATGAACTGTACCCTCAAACCATGGGACAAAATAAACCCTTCTTTGTTTTTGACAGATACTTTGTCACAGCAACAATAAAAGGAAACCCTTTCCAGCACTAAGGGGAATTTGAGCTTGAAGCTTTGCATTCATTTTTATACAAACTAAAGGTTTTTGACTTCACTGGTAGAATAAAGTAGCATTATGTCATTAAACATTTATTATTCTGAAATTTTTAAGTGTATTAATCAAAATGGAATCATTTATATGACAATTTTCAGCAACGATTATATTTTTATTTCAGTGTGTGTGTGTGTGTGTGTGTGTGTGTGTGTGTGTGTGTGTGTGTGTGTGGTGCTCCTGTGGAGGTCAGAGAACAACGTGTTAGAATCATTTCTTCCTGTCCACCATGGAGTTTCAGGGCTTGAGCTCAGGCAATCGAGCTTGGTGGTAAGCAGTGCTATTGCCCACTGAGCTTTCCTGTCAGCTCTCTATAGTAATTATGGTTTGTAGTATATCTACTTTCCACATAAAGGTAATTTCCAAAAGCTGGGAACATGGTTCAGTGGATAAAAATGTTTGCTGTACATCCCTAAGGACCGAAGTTTAAAACCCCAGCACCCACATAAAAGTGTATGTGTTAGCACGTGCCTGTCACTCCAGCTCCAGGGGGAAGAGTGGAATCAGTCAAATCCCAAAGGCTTACCATGACAAGTATGACCAAAATGAAGTTGAATAAGAGACTGTCTCAAAATAATAAGTTAATTAATGAAATGGTGAACAATAGAGGCAGATGGCAGACGTTGATATCTGACCCACACATGCCACCCATACACATGCATGGCTAACACACACACACACACACACACACACACACACACACACACACACAGTTTGAAAAGATACCTTCCCAAATCTTCTGGTAATGTAAGACTTGAACTGACTTTAGTTTTAGTTTTTCAAGATAGGATTTCACTGTGTAGCCCTGGCTGTCCTGGAACTCGATCTGTAAACCAGGCTGGCCTTGAACTCACAGAGATCCACTTACCTCTGCCTCCTGAGTCCTGGGATTAAAGGCATGCACCACCACCTCCTTGGACTGACTCTAAATCAAATTAGTGGATGTTTATCAGATCCCTGGACAGTTTACAAGTAGGTAGATTTCAGAAAGAATATTACTAAGTATAATTTAAAGTTTATACACACATGCATACATTTTTCTCAGTTCTAGGGACTGAATCAAGGCTAAGCAAGCACTCCACCTCCAAGATACATTCCCAGTCTCTTGTGACAGGGTTGCACTATACAGCCCAGATTGCCCTGGAACCATAATCCTCCCAAATACTGAGGTTACAGGTGAGAGCCAACACACCTGGCTGCTTCATATATATATGTGTGTGTGCGTGCCCATATATATTTCACTGGTAAATGTGATTTTGCCACCTTGAGAAGTAGTGCTATAAAAGATGTGTAGAGAATATTCAAATTGATAGAAGGTTCATGAAAGTTTTGTCATGGCCAAAACTGTCTAAGGGTTAAGGTCTATTTATGTTATACTTACATTTTAAAGCTATTTTGCAACTATTTAATTATGGGTGATGGATACCAAAACAGCCTTGTCTGGTAGAAATAAACTGGCTTACTACTTCCTTGAGGAAAAACCTAGTTTTGTCATCTATCTGTGAGGTGAACTGAATCCTGTCAGCTTACCCAAATTATTAGCGCTTCCCAACTTTTCAGTTCTTCCAAGAGCTCTTCAACATTTGGCTACCACATACCAAACTAACTTTTATGATTTATCGTCCATCTCCAAGGATTATTTCTGGGGACAGAAAACCCCAGTGGGATAGCCTTATTAGGTCTATCTCGCATGCTTGTGATATAGAGCCAGACCAAGGCTCATGTGACTTTAGAATTACAGAGGCACAGAGCACACAGCCCTCTTCCCTCTATGCATCCACCACTGGCTGCACACCGTGCTCCATTGGAAGGAAAAGACACCAGATGACCAGGGAATCAAAATGAGATGTTAGATAATAAGAGAAGGTAACTGGGAAAACTTAATCAGGAAGAAAGAACTAGAAAGTGAGGCAAGATTCCCTAATAGATTCTGCCTTCTGCCTGATGATCTGGTGGCGAGAAAAAAAGAAAGGAATGATTTCCTTCATTCAGCCTTACATAAAGACTTAGGGATACAACAATATACTTCCTCCAACCTCATTACAGACCAGTGAAATGCAAAATCCTCGCCGGGGCACCTTGAGATCACATACAGACTTTTCTAAAGTCCTATAGACTCAAACTCCTGCTCACCTTTCCCCAAGCCTTTGGTCTTATCTCTGAAAGTTATGTCACATCGTCATACGTAGTCTCTAGGCTTGTGAGGGGAGAGGATTCAGGATGGTTATCTGGTGTGGTAGCCTTCAAACTGAGGGTCTTCAAGTCTAGAGTCCTCAAGAAGAAATGTACAGCCTGCATACAAGTGGGAGAGGGACCAAAAGGGATGGATGGACTTCTGGTTACCAGTTCCCAACTCACACAGAGCTGTCTAATTTTATCTGGTCTTGTTGCTGTGTGTTTTGCTTTTGCATAAAATTCTGTTTGCCAAAAATTCCAATTCTAGGGGAAACTATTCTTATACCTCACAGCTCCGGTATATATCTCTAATTCCCCCATCCCTTTCCTGTGCCCAGGTATCTGGTAGATGCTGGAAGCAGGTGTGAACCACACCAGTCTCAGGTTTCTTGCTAATACAAAGAACTGCTTAGTAAGGGCCAGGAGTAGGAAAAAGCCTGCATCCATTTATAATAACCTTGACTGCTAAACTTTTCCTAATGGAACTCAATTGTTCTATACAATGAATCTCTCAGCAGAGAACAGGAGCTAGAAACCCTCCTTCCCCCTGGGCTCTCGGGGCCTCCCACCTCTTTTGATTTTCTCGGTTCTTTTTTCACTACTTCCATGGCCCGATATGTCCTTAGGATTCTGATTTCAGCCGGGTTCATTCATTGTTCTCATGGGCTTTACCTTACTATTTCATAGAGAACCCACAAGGGGCTAGAAGCTAACTATCCAGAGGATAGGCATCACTTCCAAGAGCCTTTGCTCCCTTCCTGTTGACACCCTGCCCCCTTGCCTAGATCATTTTCTTAAACATTTTGAGTCTTTCCATTGCAAGATTGAAAAAACAGTGCTCTCTCTCTCGTCAACCTAAGTTTGCTTTGAGACAAAATTTCCCCCAGGGATTGATGAGAATAACTTCATTCGTCAAGACAGAATCATCTTGAGTGTGAATATGACTTTATTCTTTCAAATTTAAAGAGGCTGCTATTATCATAACCCTTTTATAATTCTATAGGAAGGTTGTACCAGGATGCCCCTAATAAAAATATATTTGACCTCATTTGTGGGAAATGGGGTCATAACATTTTTATAACTGATTAGAACATGGACTTTATATTGATTCCTGACCCACAGACCAGGTCTATTCCTGGGCTGGGCAATGGCTGTAATTTTCCATAATAAACAGAAAGATTTGAAGTTCTAATAACTAGCCTGGTGACAAAGATAGGTGCCTTTGGGTGGAGGCTGTGTGCAGGAAGAATTTGGAATCTAAAAGTAGATAACATGGCTGCTGTAAATATTTCCTCTAACTTCTCCACATATCTTAGTGAAGTCTACGTTGCTCAATTGAACTCTTCTGTGCCAGTGAACTCTTTTGCATGTTCATATGCATATCTGGTTCAGTCACCTTTGGTACAGATCAGGAAGAAAACAAAACCTGGAAGAAACAAAATGAGCCCGAGATTCCCACTCTTCAGAAACCAATCAGTGAGGAATGGGTTAAGGCTCATTCAGGCTGTGACATTAGAGCTGAGTTGTGTTTATTTGTATCTTGTGGGTCAAATGAGCCACAGCTAACTTTAGAATTGTAGTCTGGTAAAGTATGATAAATTAGATTTGCAAAGCCATCGCCTAAACCCCATCCCTCTTGGTGCAGGACACTGTTTTACTGGAGACTTTCTTTAACCATCTTTTCATTTTCCTCCTAAAATGGCAACAGATTTCTTTTACACACTAGAATTTTCAAAACAACTAAACGTTTAAAAAGGGAAAAGAGCATTAATGGACACCAGCAAAGCATAGAGCTCCATGTCTGTATGGGGATGGGACACCAAGCCCTTTAAATCTAGTCTACCCAGCTCTTCACTGGCCTCTCCCTCCGCACTCCTTATTACTGTCCCCAATGTGCCCAATGCTATTCTGCCTGTAAAATCCAAAATGACCATTCTCCCAGTCCACTCTCTTGGTTATATCTCACTGGAGCATAGCATGTGGAAGCATTATTGTATAAATATTCATCTGCAGGCTTCCAAACTTGAATTCTAAAATGGAAAGGAGGCAGGAGACCTGACTGAATGCCAGCTCTCAACTCAATGATTCTGGAAAGACTTCTCAGTTTCTCCATATCACAGTATCATCCATCAATCATGGCTACCTTTTGGACCTCAGAGGAGAATAAAGTGCACAAACAGCTGAAGTACATCAAACATATGATCGTAGTGCACGCCAGTAAGTTTTCACTGTTCATCAGTAGGCTGGGGACCTTCCAAGGTTTGTTTTTCTGCCTGAGCAATGTAACTTTTTTCTGCCTTTCCTCTTGATTGTTATCTTATTTATTTTGAGTAAATGTCCCAGGCAGCCCAGGATGAGTTCGAACTCACTATGCAGCTGACGATGACCTAGCATTCCTGACTGTTCCACTCCCACCTCCCAAGTGTTGGGATTATGGGTGTGTGCCATCACAGCAGGTTTAACTATTTCCTTATCTTGACCCAGCTCCCTTTCATCCTAGATGAAACCCCAGGACTCTCATAACATGCAGTAAAATCTACTGCCTTAAAGCAGCATGGGAAGCATAGACCTGGCAAGATGTGTGATGAGTCACATGATGTAAAGACAAAATCAAATGACCTTGATGTATCTATACTTTCCTAAGGTACTAACTCTTTATAATTCTTTATTGTTTTCTGATTCTAGGGGGAAAGTCTCAATTTGCTGATAATACATCTGTAACTCCCTATTCATCCTAAGGCTGGAATAGTGAAAGGTAACACACTGCAGGCTCAGAGC